TGCGACGGACGCGCGCAAGCTGCCGCCGGCCCGGGACCCTGCGGCGTGTGCCCGGAACCGGGCCCGGGTGGGGCCTCCCGTGCCCCGACCGGCTTTATTGGGTCACCGGCCTCGCCCACCGCCTCGTCGGCCACGGCCCTTGGCGGGCTCGCCGTTCGCCGCCCCGCGCCCCCTCCCCAGGGCTGCACGTACGTCGTCGGCGATCCGAGGCCCGGCGGAGGCCGAGGGTCCCACCCTCCGGGTGGAGGAAGCGCCGCCTCCCCGCGCGCCGGGGGCCCTCGCGAAGTGGCTGGTAACAAAGCCCAGGGCCCGGCCGTACCGTGGTTGAGTGACAAAGTCATCCTAGCGCAGCCCGCTTTCCCACCCGGCGCGTTTAAGTTTGAGGCACAGATGATTGCCCCCGTGGCCTGCCCTTCGTGCGCTGACAAAGCGGGAAACGCTCCAGCAAGAGCGCCGGCAGGCCTGGGTTCAGATCTCGAGTCTGTCATTTGCTTAGGTGTGTAACCCGTTTGTAAATGAAGGATGATACCTGGCTCAGGATTACTGTGATTAATGAAGAATGTAAGGAACCTAGCAGGGTACTTGATATCTGGAAGGTGCTCGATGAAGGGTGCCTATGATTAGCTTTTTCTTTTTCTTTAGTTTAAATAATTTTGCGAGCACTTGATGTGCAGGACTGAAATCACTATTACAAATTTTATTCCTGCTTTTTTTTTTTAATTTACATGTGTTAAGTGATTAGCTCAAGTGCAAAGTGGAGGCTGAATCCAGGTTTTCTGACTCCATTTCACACTGTCCTGTCTCCAGGATTCTAATCGATTCCAACTCCACCTAACGCCTCCAAAATTGTAATCTCCCAAAGTGGAGAACAAAACACCCGATTATTTAATTGATGCCATATTGGCAGGTCTGGTTTCTTGAAGAGGAGAGGAAATTCTGAATAATCAGCATGTCCCTTTCTGTATTGTGGTCTTCACCAAGGACACTATCAGTTGACCCTTGAACTACACAGGTTTGCACTGTATGTAGATTTTTAAAATAAATATATTAGAATATTTGGGGAGATTTCCAACGATTTGAAAAAACTCAAACAGCATAGCCTAGAAATAGCGGAAAAAGAAAAAGTTAGGTATTATTGTAAGAATGCAGGATATAATACATATTATATACAAATCAACTGGGTTGTTGGTAAGGCTTCCAGTCAACAGTAGGCTATAAATAGTTAACTTTTGGGGAGTCAAAAGTTTTACATAGATTTTTGACTGCAAGGAGGTGGGCACCCTATGCCACTGTATTGGCATTTAATGCCATTGGGAATCAAACTAAGGATCAGATCGATCCTCTGAAATTCATAATTCTGTGTAATAAAAGGGGTTCCACATAGCTATTCTAAAAACTTTCCTCTCAGCTGTTACAAGGTGGATCACAAATTGTACAGTGTGTATTAAATTTCTAGAAGCAATAAAAATCAGAATAGAATCTGTTACTCCAGATGTGTGTCTACTTTTCTCAACATAGAATAATTAAAACTAAAGGCCAAACTCATATCCTATTTCTTTCCCTTGCAGAATGCCGTTCTGTGAATTCAGACACTAATTCTCAAAATGCAGCTAGAAATTCACAAACTATTAACAGAAACCAGTCACGATTGACTCAGTCCATGAGAATTCTGCCCTGCTTGTATATTGTCTTGTTGACCACCTACCATTTTAGCAATTCTGGGTAGAAAGGAGGAGGGGAGAGGATTTGGTTCTTTGCACTAAACTGGTGATTTTGCAAGAACACAAAATCTATAGAGTGCTAACTGTACTTCAGCCACAAAGACAACGATATCTATCTGGACAATCTACCCCAGCAGTCGGATTTATAATTCTCAGTGATGGTGGTAAAACAGATTATGTACCAATTGCTGGCCTGGGGTACAGAAAGATGAAGGAACTCTGCCTTTGGTAACTAGGCCTCAGTAAACTCATCTCCCTGTTCTCTGGCAAGGCAGCAAAGGAGGAGGGTCTGTGTAATTCTGTCCATGTTCTTCCAGAACTATGCATTCTTTATCCTACCTGCTTTACATGTTACTACAGGTCCTTTTAGGAATTATGGTTTTTAGACATTTCAGTGAGGATTTCCTATTCACAGTTCAGCGTAAGTACGTGTTTTTTACATTTGATTTTCTTTCTCTACTTTCATAAGGATAAGATAAATGGTTTTTATTTTTTAAAAAGATTTTATTTATTTATTTGACACAGAGAGAGAGCACAAGCAGGGGGAGCAGCAGAGGAAGAGGGAGAAGCAGACTCCCTGCTAAGCAGGGAGCTTGCTGCGGGGCTCGATCCCAGGACCCTGGGATAATGACCTGAGCCAAAGGTAAATGCCCAACCGACTGAGCCACCGAGGCGCCCCAAGATAAATGGTTTTTAAACCAGCACTTATAAAATTCACTCTGTTCCTCATTAAAAAATGATATATAAACAAAGAATAGCAATCATTTTCCTATATACTCTTACTCCAATTTCACTTATAATGTAGCCTGTGGGTTCCAGAAGCTGTAAGTGGTGAGAGCACAACAGGAAGTGTCAACTCTGAACCTGTTTTGCCACTGAAATCTGTAAATTAGAGGGAATGGCACAAGTCAATTTTTTTTAAGATTTTATGTATTTTTTTTTAAAGTAATCTCTACACCAAACATGGGGCTCAAACATATAACCCGGAGGTCAAGAGTCAAGTGTTCCACCAACTGAGCCAGCCGGCACCCCACAAGTCCATTTTTTAAAAAGTATTATCTAAGTATGTGGCTACAAAGGCCTGGATTTTTCAGAATAAGTACTCTTTCAAATACTCATGAAAACTTCCATTAGTTGCCAAGGAGGCTTGGAGATTGATGTATTTGGCTCTTCAAAAACAAACACAATAAATATCATGGGGAAAATATTACCAGTAAAAAAACCTACCCGGCATTGCTTGAGGCTCTCCCATTTATTAGTTTTTGTATCGCTAATTGAACTGTTTGCTTTTTTCTTCAGAATGTTCATTCTTGAAGCTGAGAAGATATAAAAGGCAGACCTATTAGTTATTGTTTTGAATAATAAAAAAATGAAATCAGTCTGAAAATGGAGAAATACTTAACACGAGAAAGTGCTTTTTAAACACATTTTTAACATTCATTTTTATTCATCTCTGTGTTTTTGGGAGCCAGGATGATGAGATGTCCCTCATAGACTGCCATTCCCAAGTAAAAAGAACAAACATTTTCCTCTTTCTTTCTTTTTTAATTAATTGCCCCAATTAATCTCTTATCAAAAGCCTCCTTTACATATTCTGGTAAATTGCATAAAGGTAAATATTTGTGTAAAATTTTTCTTATCTTTTTGTTCCCTTGCCTCTTCTAGCTCCCTTTGAAGTTCTATGTCTGGGTGGACCTTCCAAAATGTGAAATATTAGCCTTTCCTAGATCTTCAATAGTTTGGTTTTGTTTTTCAAAGACATTGGATCTCTTTTTACTCAAATCAGCTAAAGATACATTTTCTCAGACTATCCTAAAAAAGAAAGAAAGACTGGAGGGAGAAATAGCTACAGAACTGAGCTCCATCTGAGTCATCCTTGTTCATGCCGTTCTTTCTCTATTTACAAGAGTTGAAGACTGCCCGTTGAATTCGGTAGAACAGAAGCTCTGTCCCAGGGTCAGCGACTGCTGCAAGTTTTAGCATAGGCTTGTCCTGAACAGAAGAGAGCATCCTGTTAGAACCACTACTGTAAACCAAGTATAAAAGAAAATAAACCCTCAGTTTCTTATCCACTGCATGAAGTGCTCTCCTGTTTTCTGCGTTAGTAGAGCCTAAAGGGATTCTTCACTGAGAATGTAGTTATTCCAGCTGAAATACAGCATCCTATACAATTTGTTTCACAATGTTTAACTTTATGGTGGATCCTAAAATGTGAAAATGATGAGCAATAAGTACATTAAAATAGCAGTTTTTTTTTTAAAGATTTTATTTATTTATTTTACAGAGACAGACGGAACACAAGCAGGGGGAGTGGGAGAGGG